CCTCAAAATAAAAATTTCCAGTCTGGTTATTCAAAGTATTGCAGTTAGTCTATACGTTTTTAAAAACCAAGCATCTTAAAGTTATAAATTGCAGCAATGATTTATTAAATACTCTATCAGTTACTAATTGAAGCGACAGTCAAGTCGTGGCGCAATGACATTGTCGTTGTTGGTCAGTGTCGTCAGTTTACAGTTATTAATTTTTTTGCTGTACCTTAAAACCTAAATCATCTTAAAAACATTTTTGTTGATAAACAGATTGATTTTATGAACCGTGGGAGACATTATAGTTTTTTCATATCATTAACTTTGGGCTTTTCATGAACATTGTAGACTTGTTTAATAGAATATGTAAAGCACACTCGTTTAATTTTGCAGCATTGATGATTGGATACGTTTTTAAAACCAGTGGTATTTGTATTAATGGTAAAATTGTGCATAGTTTTAGTTTCATAAATATAATTATCTCAACATCATATTATCAGTTAGTTTAGGATGCTTTCCATGCAGTTTCTGTATCTTAGTATACATTTCAATAGAGCACTTGATGGTCAAGCTAGGTTCTTGTAAACATAAAACACAGGTTAACATCAACTTCTTAATTTTATGACATCAACCTATTTATAATAACATGGCAGTTTCCATAGTTTATAACATTAAATAAATAAATGTAGTTATGTAGCTACAATATCTGTTTCGACTCCTTTAGGCAGTGAAAAATCTTTTAAGCATTGGAATCACGCAAACTAAGAAATATTAACATTCCTGGCTAATATTATACTGGTGCAACATGAAAATTCTTCCAAGACAAGCTGATAACACTCATTGATTATCTACGAATCATTTATAACATTTTTGTGTTTTTCATAATTATAATTAGACATGTCAATTTTGACTTTATTGCGCTAAATAGAATTATTACTAAACTTCTAAATACGATTGGCTATTGTGATAAGTTTGCCAGCATCCCATTCACAATACTCAAAAACTAACAAACTAATTAAACGTCTAATCTGATGGTCTTTTGTACTGGTTATTTCAGCCTTATCAAATTAGATAATTGAGTAATTAGACTTCATAAAAAATTCTATTTTGAGAGTAAATCTGTTTGATCTTTTCTATTAAACGAACGCTGTTGACATACAGAGAGTGTTAATAATTATAATCATAATTTTGAACTTAAATTAAAACAATTATTGCACTGTATGCATTGATTGATTTATTGAAACGTCGATGCATTATAAATAAACGCAATTATTATAATGGTAACTTACACACTTTCAACCGTCTGTTAGACAAATATTCATGGTATTTTGCTACGGAAATTATATATGATAAATGTAGCTTTTTTGGGATGGTTTATTTTAGGGCATAACTTATTATTTTCACCAAATGGATGTGCAATCATAGTAACGATTTAATTGCGTTTTTAAGTTGATTGAAATCGGACACCCCAATTTATTAGTGGATGTTAGATTGAAAATGTGAAAATTACTGAAATTTGAGTGTTTAATGGATGAGATTACATCCGTGAACATATCAGTTAAGATCAGCTAAGATCAGTCAAGATCAGCTAAGATCGTGCTAAGATCAGTTGGTTCTTTAACCAGTTTCCAAAAACCCAATGATTCACAGCTACTGACTTTTCTCAGGATCAGGTAGATTTTTGATTAGTAGGCGAACACCACATATTTATTGGTATTTAAACCTTCTTAAGGGGAGCCTGTACCTTTTCTGGTTCAATGCTTTTTAAATGGAGTTTCTCTACAAGTTCAAGTAAATATAGCACGAAAACCACCAAACCTATCTTACTGATTTTTTATACACTTAATTATCACATCCATATCTTTATGTTAAACCACTTTTTAAAGAAATATATAAACATAAAACAATTTTTAACCATTTAAATATACAAATTTTTATGCGATATTTTGAAAATAAAAATAAAATATTGTATTACAAATTTATTACTAATCAATAATATATGATTGGTTCAATGTACTCACCAAGTACCCAGACTAATGCATGCAAAATTTTAAGTCTCTATGTATTACAGTTTTTAAACTATGTGTACCTTAATATAAAAAAAAAACTTTCGGAAAAGCACATTTAAAGCTTTGCAGCACACACTTCGTTAGTAGTAAACATTTGTTAAATACTCTGTTTCCAATGTTTCCCTAACATATTCACCAGTTTTCGTTTTCATTGTTGTAATGAAGATTGTTACCTTCAATTATCAGCTGAGTGAAAGGAATCTCCCGGTTGACTCAGTGTGTCAGATTAGCCTCTTTATGACTTTTGACATCCCAAGGCTTTGCTCAATCTCGGCCCGTTCTTGGCTAACTGCCAATCAAACTACATTGATACAACTTCATCAATTAAAGGTTGACTTGACTGATCATATCAGCGTACGTACTAACTGATCATATGTTCATTTTTTACGTCTGTGTTTTCAGACATGTTCCCACTGTTATTTTCTGTTTGTGTCATACGATTAACTACGAAAATATTTATACTTGGGGTGATTCGAGATATGTGCATACTTTTTAGCGAATTTCCCTATAGGGAAGTATAGGGAAGTAGCTATTACCGTAGGTGGCACGGTAAGACCTAGACCCGGGACCGATTTACTTTTTCATTTTGATGTCCCCAGAGGCCAAAAACACCATTCGTTCAAATTTTTATATATGTATATATATATATATATATATATATATATATATATAGACTTATATATATACGTCCGTGAACGCGATAACTTGAGTAATTTTTGTCCGATTTTGATGAAATTTGGTTTAAAGGTGTAAAGCGGGATAAACTTGAATGAGTTCGCGAACCAGCATGATCGGACCATGGGAACGGGGCTTTACGGGGGGTTTTATGGGGTAAAAATTGGTTTTTCTCACTTTTGACCCTCAAAACACAAAATTTCCCAATTTCTCTTTAGACCTTTTTAAAGAGCTCAAAAAAACAATTAATTTAGTATACAAAAGTATTTTTGTTCGGTTAATAGTAACGGAGAAAATTAAAAAAATTTAAATTTAAAATTCCCATGTTATTCTTATAGAGAATATTGTAAAATGTTGTAGTTTGCTTGTTTATGGATATATTTTGTATTTTGATCAAATTTATTTATTTTGTACTAAGCTATCAATATTTTACAAAAAAACACACTTTATTAGTTTCCTTGTAGCAGCAAACCTAGGTACTCGTTAAACCTAATGTTATTAAAATATATTTAATTGAAAATCAATTAAGACAAATGGAAATTCGCTTAGTCGGCAGGTTTGCTGTGGCGGGGGTATTTCTCTACCATCTAGGTGATTTCAAATTTTAATCAATTTTAACTTATCCCACAATGGTGAGTCTAATATTGAATTATTTTCTGCTGAAACTGTTTTTGTTACTTTCGAATCCCTTATGTACGACCGTTGAGAATCCGTAGACTGTTTTCATGACAGAACTTGATATTTTAACACATCAGTTTATTTGTAAAGCTGGTTGGTTTTGCTTGGTTGTATGTGCACAAAAATTGATCCTATGAAATAAATTGTTTATTATTACGTTTTGCAACCCATGCGTACACTAATAAGCCCCTATAAATCCATCACTTTGATATTTTCATATTTTTTTATAATCAAAACCAATTTTTTTAAACCCACTTCTTAATCGTGTTTCTTAGGTACACAAAGTGTCACCCAATAAAAAAAGACAAAAACTATACGTATATTGGTTCTTTTCTACAAAATTGTGTTTACTAACGTGGGCAACATAAATATAACCACCTCTTTGAGGTCAGAGAGTAGTTGTAGGTGTAGCGTCAGCTGATGTTTTCTTAGCAACGCATTATTATTGTTCTTGTTATTGTTTGACTAAAGGAATGTACACTTTTTAACTCTTTTAATAATTTATTTTCTTTCTTACTTATTTGGTCGTAAGTGCATTTGAATAACACAAACAACCACAACCAAATTGGTTAGTAGGTTAGTTATCATTTAAAACACTATCGCGACATCAACTATGAGCCCTAGAAAATCATCGATAATCGCACATAGTATATACAAACCTTGCTTTCAACCATCCCATACATTATATATACTTTTAGGGCGGCAGCTTCTCTGATCGCTTAGCCAACTTCGCCTATATTTTCTCTTGTTCAGTTTCCCGGCAAAGTCCTTATCCAGCAGTAGACCAGAGTCAACACCGACTGAAAGCATTATGGCAGTAGGTCGACATCAGTGCGTTGTCACACATAACTCGACCGAGCTTTCTATCGTTGAGTAACAGGTAGCATTAGGTCAAGAGTAGTCGCACACACACAATGCGCACATTCTTGTAACATCTTCGACCAAGTTCACGTGTGTGTTGCTAACTTTAGGAACGACTTTGATTTCGTAACTTATTCTTCTCGAGTTTTGTTCTCCAAACATATGAAAAAGGTTTAAAATCGTTACATTCACGATAAGCATCATTCCTTGGCTAAATTAATTAGGAAAGACATTTAATCAGAAAGCCATATTCTATAGATTTTGGCATCATAGAATTTTGTAATAATAGAGATCGATGGTTCTTAAGTCAGGTTATTAAGTTATCTGGGACTTTTTCAATCAAGGCTTTCTCAGACTTTATTTGTTCGTAAGTAACATTGATGATGAAAATCGAACTCTATACTTTGTCCTAATGACTATCTCGAATACTTCCCATTTATTTTTTTTTAAGTGAGTAAAAGTTCAAATATGCATTAGCTTCACTCAATAAATATGAGGGTTCAGTTATATCCAATTCCCACGTAAATATATGTTTTTACTTGATTTGTTAACACTTTAGTAGGACTACTAATTAACCTCAAATCTTTCAGCAGGTTAGGCTTTTTTGTGATTATCTATAATTCATTAGGAGATTTCAACATAATGTTTTTTTTTTATCTGTACGAAAATGTTACACTATAAGTGTTAAAAAAGCAGTAAGAGAAGGTTAACACACATTGAAAAATAAGAATATAAACATCATAGACTATAGAAATTTATTTAAGGAAAAGAGATCCGTAATAAGAACATTTCGCATGTCTACTTCAGAAGAGGGTAGGTGTAGGGGTAGGCAGCAGGAGCGTAGTAGGGGCTGGCTACATAGGGGGCTGCAACAGCGGGGGCCGCAACGTAGGGGGCGGCAACAGCGGGGGCAGCAACGTAGGGGGCGGCAACAGCAGGGGCCGCAACGTAGGGGGCGGCAACCACAGGGGCGGCGACTGGGGTGGCGATGTTGTGGTGGACGGTGTGAGCGTTGTAGCTGGAGGCGAAGGGAGCCACAGCGTATGGGGCTGCTACAGGGACTACTCCACCTTGGGCACCGCCTAGGGCGACCATGAGGGCAGCGAGGGTGGCGAACTGTGGGGTATGAGAATTTAAAATAAGTATAACACCAGTACTAGCATTATGGCCGTGCTAACATAACACAAGTGCAAACTGGTTTAAAAACAAATTCACAGGCCTTAAAATAAGCAATGTTAAAATAAAATTCCGTTTCTAAAACTACAAAAGAGCTAATAATTTTTGAGGCAATACAACATGCCCTACTAGAAAAACAATGCTTGAGTGAGAACAGTGGTGGTGATTTAAGTCGGAGGGTGGCATGGAAGGCTGCCCTCTACATCCAGTGGGGTATATGGATAAATTAATGTAGTTTTTCATAATAGTACATTCCTATGTCTTTCAGGTGGTTCCTCCCCTCCTCTCTACTGCTAATGGTCAATCGTCACTAAGTTAGAACGATGAATAAAACGCAATAAACATCTAAAAGCATTTTTCAACAAAATTGAAACCAAAACTCTTTCAAACAAGCTTAATCCATCAAAGAATATACATAGACATTTTCCCTAGGAAAGCCCTTTAAAGGCTTAAAAGTTTTAAAGTGTTTTATAAACTCTACGACTCGTTGATAAATAAATTTGTTTGCACGTTCAGATTGTGTTTGCCGCGTGTGGCCTTGCGCGTGGTCGACAATTGCTGTCAACGCACTCGGTTCAATCAGACCCAGTAATTGGTGGCTACGAAGTGCATTAAATATTCACTTTCTACTGTAAATGACGATGTAATAACTCTTCTTTTTCAAATCAATGCAGCGGATTGTAATTACTGTTTTACAGTGTACTCGACTGCTCATCAATTCTTTATTTTAAAATATTTATATTTTTTTGTTATTATGTAATTTTATTTGTTTTCTATCCTGTACTTGTAAAGTTGTAAAACATCCCGTAAGCTTCAAGTAATGTTTGAGATTTTTAGCCTGAATCCACAACCTACAGTATAAAATTACGTTTTAACTATCAAATTTTAATAACACAAGTAAACTTTGTTGAACCTTTTTATTACGAGTCATATGTTTAGAATTGAATTATATTTTATTATGACCCAAATTACGATTCACCCGCAATGGATTTTTACTTGAACTACAGGTATAACTATTAATATTGTGTGAGTAATATTTAAATTTAATACAACGATAATATTAACCGGGGGTTTTTAAGACCTACCAATTGGGGTGAACATACTTTATGGTTGACCTGTTTTCTTTTTAGTTAGAAACGTCATTATTTCATATTTTAAATGTTTAATTTTAAATTGAGAACTGACACACAAATCACAGACCCCTTTCAAAAAACATTGGCTGGTCTGTTTAGCTATGTAGCAAAGGCACGTGACTCGGTGGTTGGATTCTGTCACTATCAAATAAAATTACATATATTTCTTAGGTGAGGAGAACTCTATTTTATACAAAAACCTACACCGGTGTAGCTCTTATCAATAACTTGTATACTTTCCAAGGTACCGAATGGTTCCGCCAATTATTCTTTTATAATTTTCCAGTTATGTTGACACTGCCTCTGCAATAAAATACCCCCTGGTAAAACGAGGAAAACAAAAACACGGAATATAATGCGCATAGAATGGTAGATTATTAAGCAATTAAATTTAGAGTTTTGTATTTCTGCTGCCAATTACTCCGTTTCAAGATAGGTGCCTGCCAAAACCCGCCTTAGAGCCGGTTGTTTTAGAACATTTATATACTTAAGAAAAATGGAAACAATTTGTAAAATTTGTTTGTTACTTTTATGTATCAATTAGACCTCACCGGCAGGTTTTGTAACTTGGCAAGGCCAAGCAGTTGTAATATCTTTAATAAATATTTTTTAGAATTTGAATTTGAAAAAATCGAAATACTATTTGATTGATTAACTTTTAGCAGCATTAATTTTACGTCGTTGGACACAAAGCTCTGTAGCGAGTATCTGTCCAAACGCCTACATCCAATTTACCTCAACCCCAAAATGAACACCAAGGTAAGCGAAGTATTTTCAGCGCGACGGACGTGAGAACAGTCGGGTGGTAGAGGCCTCTGACGACATCCCTGCCCTTTCAAACATTTCTGGCCCTTCTGCCCTTAGGATAAATCGGTCAACCGTGTAAGTGCTGCTGCGTCTCAACATTTTATACTTTTACACAATTTCTTATTTTTCGTACCTAAACTTTGTAAATATTTGAGAAGACTTTACATGCTAGTTAGTTATGAGGAAAGTGCTTTTTTAGGAAAAATTCACACTAATTAGAGGCGAAACAAGTATATTGTACTGAAACAGATGTTTTGTTGGACGCAGTTACAAAATAATTGTTAACCTTTCACAAGCAATTTAGTTTATTTTTTCCTTCGTATAACATAACATTAATATATATTTAACAAAAATAAACATAAGCATATTAATATATTTGTTTTAATAAAGTTTGTATAAAATTGCGTTTGTTTTTTCCGCTATATATTTTTTATATTTAATGGTAGCAATCACATTACCTAAAATTTTATTTCGGCAGATTTAATAAAGGTATTTTAGTTTTAATATTGTCCCAAAAAGCTATATTATACTGTTAGGTATTTAAAAATATTTAAATGATAAACATCCTCTTTTAGATTTTTTAATTCTAACTTACCAAAAAGCTGGTGGACACCATGGTTGATGGTAGTTGGTTGATGAGTTGCTAGGGTAGTAGCTGATGATCCTCCAACAGTCAGTATGTGTTATATAGTAGGGCCCGAGGGTGGGGACCAGTGGGGCAGAGCCCGAGAACTCAGTCCGAGCACGAGGAGTTGGTCAATTGTTGACACATGGACCTTGGGCATCGGCCAAACTTGGCTCTTAAGCACATTATAACTCATTGACCGATATTGCAGTTGAAAGTTAAGAGACTCAAATGATATTTCATATATGTAAGCCTCAACAAGAGTTTCATTCGATTAAAAATACGATCAAAATATGAGTGGTCTGCAAAAACGTTTAAAGTTTACTCGACATACAAAATTTAAAAGCGCAGTACTTAAGTTTTTCTGCAAATGGTCATCAGAGTATTACGTTTAATTGATTTTCGTCTACGCTTTTGTTTGAATTCATCGCATATTTTGCCATGGGTACGAAAAAATCATACAACGTTACAATACATTGTCTTTTATAAAAATACCTTATAAAGTCCATACATTTTAGTTCATTTATTGGCCTATTGTAAAAGGTGGCGTATCGGCTTGGTCTTACGGATGTAACTTCCTACTATAAATAAGAAAAGTATTTCTAAAATAAATTAAACGAAATGAATTTTTTAAATCGTGGCTGTTTGAATACAATAATTATTCGACTAAATTGATTCGTATACATTAAAACTGTAAACATTTTAAGTTGTTATGTAACTCGTGTACAACTATGTCAATTAATTTGTCAATTAACAGTTCCCTTTAGAAAGGAATTACGACCATAAAGGGCAATTTATGAAATGATGGACAGTCTTGCGCAAGGTTTCTCCTCATGACGAACATTTTAAGTATATGGTTTATGGGGGTGTGACTTATAGTTTTTCTAAAAAAATCATGGGTACTTTGGGGTTTATATATGGATATTGTTTAATGCTCTTAATGAACATGTTGTAGCAATGGAGTATTTTTTCGTTTAATGTTCCACAAAATGTTTATTACAATGTTGTTGTGATGTATTTTATAATACAAATGCATGTGTATTACTTTACTTGTCAGCAGTTTTGACAGTTAATGTGTCTAACACTTCAGTCAAGGAAATTAATTATTCATTGTATAAAATGACCAACATCTACTGATCGTTTAGAGTGGTTGGGTTCTAAATTAAGTTAAACTATAAAATAAAACTCTTATATTGATTTGAGCCTTTTTAATTAGAGAAACCAGATTTTGTTTTTTATTAGTATTTCCTTTGATACATTAGTATTTACTTTACATTCTCAATATGGAGGACTATATGGTATGCTTATGCTAATTTGGTTTTACATTTTACTTTTTTAAAAATATTCCCCAACTTTCACTTTTATTTTTTAGTAATTCAGTAAAGTTCAAAATGAAAGCCCAAAGTTCGAGAAGAAACTATTCAAATTATTAAAATATATTTAATTGAACAGCGAAAGAAGTAATTTAAGTAAGCATCCTATGATATGCATCATTACTTTCCATATTATTACTAGGGATGAATTTTAATGGTTTAAATATTGAGGCATGAGCCAAATTTTAATATTTCAATTAAGCACAACAAATCTTGTTAGGTGCAAGTATCCTGCAGAATAAGATCACACCCCATCTTCGACTTGTGTTTTTGCAGCATGTAATCAACTTTATTGATGTATCCAAATGCATGTACGTGTCTAACGGAATATAATATTGATTCTTGATTCTTAAAATTTGTTAATTTTCTGCTACATTCAAAGAAAAATATATACCCTAACCAAAGTAAATCAACGTAAAGTCATTTTTATTTTACCTACACTTTATGGGTTATTAATTAAAAGTTGATATTAATTTGATATAAAAAGTTGAATGAAAAAGGAAAATTGTAGTGTATCAGGGTATTACGCAAAAAGTTCAAAACAATCTTGCCACGTGTATACTCTTTATTCGTCCCAAGGGTCACATGTGAGGCGTAACAGCATGCATGATTGTGGTTCAGCGACTGGCCACAGTTCTTGGCACAGCGCCACCGTCGCAATATATTTCATCCCCTTACTCTACACCTACAATACACAAACCCTGTTTGTTTACACTTGCAAGGTTTCAGTGAAGTTTGGAGAAGGCGGTTAGTTGGAAATAATTGGTGTTATCGGTACGTGGGAATTAACTTTATGTATAATGATGTCGTCTGTAAATTACATTAATGAAGTTTCTAGGAGAGCTGTTGTTCCTGGTTCGTGAAACATAGCTCATCTAGGTCTGCGGGTCAATTTTGATTCAACAAAATTACAAAATACAAACCCGCGTTCCACTAATTTTTAATGAGACGGCCGTCAATGTTGTTTAGGTAAATCTGATACAATCCTTGACATATTCAACAAGCATAAAAACGATATTGACTAAAAGGTTCAATGTTTGTTATTTATTTCAATAACAGTCACCAACACTACGAAATGAAATATAAATCCTGGCAATATCATAGAAACTGCTACAACTTTTTGAAGTTTGATCAACGGTTTTAAGTATGACTAGTTTGGTTGGTACAGTACTTTACAAATAAATTAATAATTTCAATAACTTAGAAATGCTTTAAATACCACAAAACTAAATTCAAATCTCGATTAAAATTTTGGGGACAAAGAAGAAGTTGTAAAAACTAAATTGCATATAATAATTTTACACACCAAAACAAGATCACAGAAATGGAATGTAAACTAACGGAAATAATGACTAGCCATAATAGTCTTAGTGTATGGCTAGTAATTATTTCCGTTAGTTCACATGCCATTTCTGTGATCTTGTTTCGGTGTGAAAAAACTATAATAAGCAATTGTTTTTACAACGTCCCCTTTGTTGTTCAAAGGTTTATTGCGGACATTTTCCATCACGAATGTAAAAAACAATACACAAAGTTTCGGGATCTGGAATCTGATCCCGTCCTCAGGTGAAAAAAACTTAACTAACACATTACAACTAACAGTACAAATGTATTCCAAATAAGTAATGTATTCCAGTAATGTACAATCCACAAACGCCCAACCTAAGTTGGTCCCCTTTGTCTCCCAAACTTTAATCGATGTGTAAATACAGTTTTATAGTATTTAAAGCATTACAAAGTTTTGAACTTAGAAATTTCTTTGGAAAGTACTCTACCAACCAAACCAGTCTTAATTACACGTTTTATGTCCAATACAAGACTAAGACAACCCAGTTATATATTAACTTGTACAATTTGCATCAACCGAAGTCCCTTCTTAAGTGGGTTCAAATTCTCCAATAAGATAAACTAGGCCTTAACTTATGAAGCAATTTACTATGCAAGCATTTGACTTTTATGCCAGCCTAAACAAATATGAAACTGAAATATTATTGAATCATATATTATAAGGATGCTATATCTGTATGTAGTTAAGAGTTTCTTGAAACAGATTAGTTTGGTTTATATTTAACTATAAAAAATAGTGCATATTTCACGTCTCACAAAACATATAAGTTTAGACGAACACATATATTTACTATGTGCACAGATTGTTGCTGGCTGAACGTGACTTCCCTCACTAACCACTAGTGTACTTTGTCTATCGAACCCAAATTAATAAAGCTGCCATAATTCCAGCGATACGTTGTTTTCAGCCATGTATTTGTGTACAATTTACTGTAAACGGAAATGTTGTCCAGTACAAGATTATGAAGGCATTTCTGGGAACAACTTTCCATAAGTCACTTGGGCATGCAAAGAAGTCCTTATTGCGTGTTGTACTTGGCACCTGTATTGGCCTCTTGGCTATATAACCCAATACACAATACACCGAATCATCAAAGTACTCAGTACAATCAAACAGGCAACATGGCATCAACAATCATCGTAAGTAAAACTACTTTAGCTCAAATTTAAAAATGGTTGATTGCTGGATTGTAATATTTTGTTAGTGACGTGTCTAGGTTTTTATTTAAGTAAGTTTGATTTTTACTATTGAAACTTAAGGGAAACTCGTATAACAACAGGTTAAAAAACATTCTTTAGTTAAAATATATCATGTTGAAAGTTATTTTTCTCAAAAGTTCTAATTACGTTAGTGGTTCACTCAACCCCCCAATCTCTTGAGGAAAGCAACCTATGCATTTCCGTGATTTATCTACTAACGGCAAAATATACTTTATTACATAAAAGTAAATTTTAATGCATGTAATTCTTTCTCTCCTTTAATATGATTATGCCTTTTAGTGTTTGTATTTCCGAGGAGTGGAAACGGATGCCTTGATAATTTTGTCACTATTGGTATACCTACAGTAGCCAAAATCATAAGGAAACCCAATTATGAGTCATTTGCACTTAAAAAAGTATGTTACATCCATTACACTCAAATTACCAGTGTTTAGCATAACCATGTAATACTAATTATGCGTATAGTTTTTTTTCCTTTGATGTGATTATAGTTGCAAACTTTTATATACTTGTTGTTTAGAAGTACTTAGTAAAACTTAAAAATCGTTGTTAAAAAATTATAACTTTTGCAATAACTACATATATAACCAACTATAATTTTTGCCAAATTGTTATTTGCTAGGGGGTCGAAAAAAGGCAGTTTAGTTTCATTGCTTACAAAGTATGAAATACAATATACTTACATGTATCATAACACTCAGCAGTTTGCAGTATAGTAACAAACAGTCATTTCCGTTGACTTGGAAATTGTCGATAGCTTATATTCTAGACAATCGTTATAAGCAATGTTTTTATTCAAACACAACATTTACTATTTTTTCTTGCAGATAACTTTGGCCGCCCTCCTGGGATGTATCGGCATCTCCACCGCCTCCGCTGTGGTTGCCGCCCCCGCCGCATACGTCAACGCCGCCCCATACAACATACCACCCTATGCTGCTAGTGTCAACGTTGTGAACAGAGGACTAGCCGCCCCTTACGTTGCTGCCCCCTATGCTACTGCACCCTACGTTGCGGCCCCCTATGCTGCTGCTCCCTACGTTGCCTCACCCTACGCTGCATCCCCCTACGTAGCTGCCGCTTATGCCGCTGCACCTTACGCTGCCGCCCCCTACGTTGCTGCTCCCTATGTTGCTTCCCCCTACGTAGCGGCCCCCGCTAAGTACGCTGCCACTCCAGTTGTTGCCCCTGTAGCCCCTGCTCCTGTTGTAGCTGTGAAATAATTTGTTAAAGCTATAAAATAAAACTTTATTATATAGTATTTTTTGTGCTAATTGTCACCTGAATTTGTTTAGTTTTCACCATAACCTCAAGTTTCATATTATTATTAGAATAACATTCCAAAACACAAAATGCTTTTTTGAAAATAATTTACTGTACAATGGCATTAAGCCGTTCAATTCACTGCCCACTCCCCTGAAGATGGAAAATAATGTGGACAAATTTGGCAATTGGTTTAAGAGTCTTCTTTTGTCACGCTGTTGTTACAGTATTGAGGAATTTTTAAGATGCCTGCAGTGACTATAACAATGATCTTTAGTTTTTAGATTTCATCTATAAGAACATGTTTTAATTAAGATAAATTTTTGTTGACGCTATTATGCAGTTTGAAACAACTGTAAAAAATAAAGGTATTTGAGTTTGAGTTTGTTCTCTATGGTCTAAATCACAGTAAATCATACTTACAACTACTTATATTTATTCAGTACTGGAGATTTCTGATGGTGAATCCTGTACTCATTTTTGTAGTTATATCAAGATTACGGAAAATATGTATACTGTTCTTGTTAGACTATGCATATCACTTTGAAAACCTATTATTAGAGTTTGTGAAGTAAAATTTCCAAATAAGAGTCTTATGATGAATAATCTTTTGTTCAATTAGTCGATTATAGGATATTTTTGCAATCAGCTATTGCTTTGATCCATAGTCAACTTGAAAAGATTTTATGTATATGCAATATGCTCAATTCATGTGTTTTTTACAACGTGCCAAGCCGAACAATATTGAAGTACTTTTTAATAGTTGGTATTGCTATTGTTGGGATTGAGATTGAACTTAACGTGTATAACGTTTTCAAATATGATAAAAAGTACAAGCCAGATTCAAATTATAATCAATGCTTTAATATTTGTTATACTATCTATTGAGGTACGAAGGGTTTATTTGGAATATGCAGTATCCTAAATCCAGTTGAAATGGCTTTTTTTTTAACTATCCATATTTTTGGGTGTAACTTGTGTTGAAGTTGTATGTTGATGTTTGTGATCTTGTGAAAACCATCCCGCTATTAACGCAAACTTAAAGCGAGTAACCTCAAATGGGTCTTATAACAAGTAATACTTATCAGCATTTGTACTATGTAAAAGACCTTAATTATTTAGGTACAGTATGAGTTAGTTAAACATTATTACGTAATACTAGAAAATGTATTACTTAATGTAAGAAAGGCCTTAGTTGAAAAAATTTAAAATAAGCTAATTTGAAATATACTTCTTTGCCTCTTTATATTTACATGTTTTACGAAAACCTTATAACCAACTTTGAAAGTAGAGTTGACGTTCCAATGCCCAGTAATATTTGCAGCTAAAACAAAGATATCGTCTGTCGTGTGAAACTTGTTTCTTATATTTGACTAGTTTTCTTGTATTTTGTCATTGATTAAAACGCAATCAAAGGTACACCTAGCTGTCCATACCTTTCAATAACCCAACACTAATCATAGAAATTTTATTATTTCAACTTACTAATAAACGGACATTTAGAAATTAATCTCGGTAATTTGCATTTTAATGAATTTTAAGATTGAACATGTCCTTTTAATAGTTTAAAGTCTGTTAAACATCATTAAAAGTGAGCTGCAAAGTGTTGTTCAGGCTGCGGTAGAGTCAATGAGTGCAGCAACCTCGCCGCATGCACTTGACATTCTCGTTCAGCTTCTCGTGTGAGCTGAGATAATTATTATTCGATATGAAAATAAACAAAAAAGTGCATTATATTATAATATATGTAATAATACATAGTATGTCCCTGACTAATTTTATTGGCCTTTGAATATGTACTTTGGTGAAATAATGTATAATTAGAATTTGTTAAAGCATTGTCTTTACAATTTTGTCCTCGAATATTCTATCGGGAAAACTTTCATGCTACCAGTAGACGAATATGTTGTTTGATATAGAATACAATGCTTGTTATACATACCGAGTAACACTTTGTATGCTGTATACGTGATATACAATAATGGTAAGCCATAATCAGTTTAATGTAATGAACACAATTTTAAATTAAATGTTGTGTTATATAAATGTCGTCATTGAGGGTCAACTAATGTGGATTGCAATTGCTGCACAAAACAATTTATTAACTTACAGGGTGACAATTATTAAGTCTTAGGACGAATTTTTAACTTCTCAACGAAAAGAGTTATGACAAACAAATTTGGCATATTATTACTGGTAATAGTAAGCTACTATTTTTTGTACATGGTGATCGAATGTCACCTCTGGGGGAACGCCCCAAAGGAAGTAAGATGAAAATCTTTCAAGTAAGCATAGATATGCTTAAGGAGCGGTGATATGTAGATCAAATGACAGGTCTTGTTAAAAAAACAATTTTACAAACCAGACCTCAAATGGACAACAGATTGAAATATGACAGTCATTCAAAGATTTCTTGAATTTGACATTTTGAACGTTTAAACGGCTGCCATTTTTTACTCAGTTAATCTTTTTGACACACTTTTTTGGCATTATTCTATTAATAAAATACATTTAATTTGATTTGATGTGCATATTGACCTATGATTACGTTTATGGTTTTCTTCCATCTTGTAGCAGGCTTCTTGTCCGCTGCGGATGTCCGTCTGAATAGGTAGCGTATAGCATTGCAATTTCAATGCATCTATGAACGGCTGTATAACTTTTGACTAGAAATTTTTAGTCAAGTTCGTGGCATTATTTTTAGTTCAACAATACCTTTAATTTAATGTACATTTAAACCTTTGCTTACCTTTAAGATTGTCTACTTACTCCATAAGGGCCGTACCCCACAGGTGACATCTGATCACCATGTACACAAAAAGTACCTTACTAATGATATGCCAAATTTGGTTGTTCCTTCTCTTTTTAGTTTCTCTTTCTCTTTCAAGTTACAAAGTCGTCCTAAGAGTTAATTGTCACCCTGTGTAAATTTCCAACACAAACTATTAGGAATAATTATAAATACCAAATACATTACAAAAACAACAACACGTTTATTTAGTGTAATTTACACTATGATACATAGCAGTAGATTACATCAGGAATACATTTGTACTAGATAATAGAAACTATACATCACATGTGTCTATCTTTTAAATATGAACGGAGGAAAGACAGCAGACCCGGGTATCGTGAAGGGAGGGTAGGGAGAAGGGATGAAAGAGGAGTAAAAGGGAGATGGGAAGAATCCTGGGGGAGGAAGGGGAGCGAAACCTCGTGGAGGAAACGCCGGTGGAAAGAAAGGTCCAGGCAGAGCTGGAGGAAACGTCCCTGGGTAAAAGGAGGGAAATGCTCTAGGAGCTACTGCTGGTGTTACAGCTGGAGGGGGTAGTCCTGGAGGTGGTAGAGCTGGGGGTGGCAGAGCTCGTGGTGGCAATACTGGGGGTGGTAACGCCGGGGGCAGGAACGCCGGAGGTGGTGGCGGAAACGGAGCAACGACTGGATACTTCCTAGGAGTTACTAGGAAATCTGTTCTAGTGACGTAGGGTGGTACTGCTGGAGGAGCTGAGTGGACATACCCCGGAGCCACCGACCCCAGAGTGCAGGAACAGCAAGACATCAAAATGGTGGCGATTAGAGTCCTCTGAAAATGAAAATTGGAATATCTTAGTAATGTTATTTTTTGTTTCTCATTAGTATTGTAATTTGTAAATATAAACCACTGAATTGCAAATGCTTATCTGTTACTTTGTTCTTTTCTTTGACTTCCAAATTTGTCAAACCGGTAATTGTAAACTTATCGGTTAAGTAACTTATCGGTAATCAAACTTGGTTCGTCAATTCCTTATAAAAACTTGTTTTGAAATCGAAACATTATTTATGTTAAAACTAGAGCCAAAGATACGACTAAATAATTGAAGATGTGTCAAAAAGATTATATTGCATGCAGTACAACATTACAATAAAGTTAAAGATACATTAGTTCATATTTAGCATGGTGATGGTAAACAAATTTCACAATAACAACTTTGATGAACGTTAATACAGAAACCAATCATTAGAATACATAAAATTGTTTTGTATTTACATCAAAATAAACCAAAAGTTAACCTCTGTATTGAGGTGTGGGCAGTGAAATTTCATTGGAGCATTAATTGCCTCCCTCTGTCACGGGTTTTTATCAACAACATTCCTTGAACACTAGTTTAATGTCAGGGTTAAATGAAACCCATATCTGAATGGTGATTTCAGAAATGTATTGGTGAAAGGTTAAAGCTTGCAATAGTTGTAAAATGAACAAGTATTGAGTTAATCAGTAGCATTTTAAAAGATGCCTTTGAATATTCTCATTAAATCTTTGCCTTTTGAGCACTCTTAATCAGAATCATATCATTGAAACTCTTGAATATAAAAATAGAGGTATTTTTATGGATTCAATGTCTATCATATAAGCAGCGTACTTACACTTTTAATTAACAAAAATATCTCATGTTATGTTATAATTTTTTCCTAAATACAGTTCACAGTTGTTAGTTATAATAGCTCATAGTAAATTGGATAAATTTTAAATTTCATAATTAATGTAAATGAAAAATAATCTTTTAACGTTTTAAAAAAAATTTACTTTCCTAGAACATATTTAATTGGCAAAGGAGCTTTATTTAAACGTAAAAAGACTCAATGTTAAACTCTACGTATTTTTTTTTAATCCGTTGAATATTGAACGTTTCAGGCTCAAAATAAAACGGGTTTGTAATAAGTAAATTTGGCTGTATTACAAGAAAACCATCTAACTACTTTATGTTTCTTGGTAAAAATATTTTCCTATACATAAAGTTAATATTTATCTACTCACCATGATTGTACCACTTGGCTGCCCCAGGTTGTATGTGCCACTGTCGGGAAGGTGTAGTACATATACCTAACAACACTTCCGTACCAAACCACCGTCGAGCATCCAAAGTAGCCAAAGTTATCTAACCCGGGCCACTTTCTGTCGCCCTCTCGCAATCTAATTAGTTCAAGTGTCACTTTTGGTTAGTGAATCAGGAGGTTTTA